GGGAATTTGGAGCCCAACAAGATCTGAGTGTGTGTGTGTGTTGATGTTCCTAATCTGTTTGGAAATAGCAAAGTGAGGCAGTGTGCTTCTTCGATGGCACGACTGTCCCTTCTTAAACATCCTGGCATGGAGACCTGAAAAAGGGCTCTTTGGAAATAGGGACAATAGCCATACAGACATTTCTTTGGCTTCTACTCCATTCCTCAGTAGCTACCTCACCTTGCTGAACTCTGCCCAGAAGTAGTCAGGGTGCTGCTGGACTGTGTTATACTTACTGAGGTGGGGAAAGCGATGAGAAGTTTGCTTGATGCAAAGTTGTCCAAGCAGAGCCTCTGGTGCCAGTCAGTGTAGACAACAGTGATTGCCAATGGACTTTTTCGCTAGAGATGGAACTAGGGGCTCCCTTCATGCAAAGCAGCTGATGCTCCCTCCCATGAGATACAGGCCCTCCTCTGTGCTTCTGTGACACTGGGAGTTCAATGGCACATCCTTGGTATGGCATATACTGAACTTTCCAATCCCCTCCCCCAGCTGGTTTGGACTACAGCCTCTATCAGCCCCAGGCAGCACAGCCAATGGGTGCTGTTGTCCAAACCAAAAAGAGGGCATCAGGCTGCTGAATGTTAAATAAGCATTTACAGTGTGTTTCCAAAGGTCTTCATATAGATCAGGGGTGGGAGACGTTTGTCTCTCCAGGTGTTGCTGAACAGCAGCTTCCGTCAGGCACAGGCAGCATGGTCAATGACTAGGGATGATAGTTGTTCAGCCACCTGTGGAAGGGCAAAGGTTCCCCACACATTACCTAGCTGTAATCCTTACTCCACCCTTGTAAGGTAGGCCATAAAATATGGGGGAGGCCAAGGCTACCTACAAAGCATTCATGGCAGAAGTCACATTTGAAGTGAGGAATGGCTGGCTTGTAGCTCAGTTGCTTAGGCTGCAATCCTGTACACATGGAAGCCCCAGTGGGTCTTACTGTTAAAGTACGCATAAAATTGCATCAGTCGCTATGTGGTACCAGCTGTCCAGCATTGGCATTAGTCCATACAGCTCTACAGGTGTTCCAAGTTGGCAGTGTTAGGTTTCTTGGTGCATCCTATCAACTTATTCACTGTTGCAGCTCACTTGTTGAATCCCTCCAACCCCCTTCGCCATCAGGATTTCTCAACACAGAGTGGAGTTTTCCATTGCTTCAATGACCTCTGTGCACATTTAAGAGGCAGGCAAGGAAGTGCAAAGGGGGGGGGTGAAGTATAATGAAGTCGTTAAGCACTCTGGCCTCATTAAAAGAACTTGACGAAAGAGACAAGGCCTTTGAAGTTGAGACAGCCGTGATTATGGCCCTTGAAGAAGCTACAGGTTGGGGCTGTGCTGTTGACAGAAGCCAGGCAGGAGATAAGATGCTCCTTGCATCCTGCGTCACCCCTGATAAAAGATGCTGAGCATTGATTCAGCTGTCAGGCAGGCAGGGGGAGAGACTGAAAACATGAGGCTGAAGAGGGGCCTGTGGTGACGAAACCCAGGCTTGTTAGTCCCACTGGCAGGAGTTAATGAGTCAGTAGGTGGTGTGCTTGGGAAACAAGGACTCCTGATCTGAGCCAGGCTTATCTCAATTGGCTCAGGCTCAGGAAGTCAGACTGTTTTGGCATTCCAGTACTCTTTGCAGCAGATAAAATGCACAACACCTGCTAGCCTTGCTGTGGGACTAACAGCAACAAGTGATACTTGGCTCCCTAAACTGCCAACAAAATCTCCCTTTCTCCCTTCTCTTGAACTGGGAAACCTGCAAACAGGACCTGAGCACAAGAGCACTCTCCCCTCCTGTGGTTTCCAGCCACTGTATTCAGAAGCATTACTGCCTGCAACGGTGGAGGCAGAGCATAGCCATCATGGCTAGTAGCCACTGATAACATGATCCTCCATTAATTTGTTCAATCCTCCTTTAAAGCCATCTAGGTTGCCGGCCATCACTGCTTCCTATTGGAGCGAGTTCCAAGGTTTAACTTTGTGCTAGGTGAAGTACTTTCTTTTACCTGCCCTGAATCTTCAGCTTCCTTGGATGCCCATGAGTACCGCTCCCCTTATTGCATGCCAGGCTTCCTCAACCTGGCACCTTCCAGATGTTTTAGATTACTCCCATCAGCCACACTATATTATGGCTGTGCTGGCGGAATTTGAAGTACTAAACATTTGGAGGGCACCAGGTTGGAAAAGGCAAACAGGAAGGGCTCCAATACCCTGATGGACAATTTGTACGGCCCACACAGGAGCTTCTTTCTCATGCAGATCATATTGTCCTTTCCCAGAGATTCTTTACTGAGCCCTGTGCCTGGGATAAGAGTGACCTCAAACAGCCAACTCACTTGGGGAGATTCAAACCTGGGGCATGGGCCCCTTCCTATCCAAAGGCCAGGAAATTTGTGCGGCAGTACAGGGGTTAAGTCTGCTTGCATTCCAAAACCATTTGGAAGAGGCTCCAAGAGAGCCATGCCTGATTTCAGCCAAAGGCAGCTCAAGCAAGGAAGATCTGCAGGCTGGGAAGCGTAGCACTGAGGCTGCTGCTCCCCCTAGTGGAGACTCTGCTGTCTACAGCACAATGTCCCCATCCCTCCGAACCTCAAAATCTATGGTAGGAAGTAAATTAGGCCAGATATATAGAATGAGGTGACAGAAGGTGGACTGCAACCCTTGAGAATGTAGGGAGGGCTTCAGTTTTGAATCCTCATCTGAAAAACTGTTCCCTGGGGGGGAAATGCATTATCAGGGTGGCTGGCAGGGCTCTGCGGACTCTGGTGGAACTTGTCCATTTTAAACACTGTACCGTGAAACTTCCCAACTGCAAAATAATCTAGAGGGCATGTAACCCCACCCCCAGGATGTGCTATGAGGTGCCCGTTTTGAGCAGATTCTTCGTACTAGAGACACAAACAGACACCATATACTGTAGCTTATTCACAGCTTTTATTTCTTTCAAGTCTACTTTGGACCTGCTGATCCATTATCATGATACCTGGATGATAAAACCTTGTAGTACCTTGTGGCATGTAACAGCTTATGACAACCTGAAATGGCCGCACAAGTTTCTCTCTCCCCCTCTAGCTTCTAAAAAGAAAGGATTGTTACTTGGAGAAAAGGAAACCCAGAAAGGTCATTTCAACAAAGATCTTTTTCCTTTTTTTGTGGGGGGTGGGGGGTAAGAGAAGAGAAATATTGAAAAACAAGAAGACGACAATAGTCCGATTGCTCCAGTGTTAATGAAAGGAAGCCCCTTCTCCACTCCAGGTTCTGGCATGCCCCCCCCACCACCCTGAAATTCTTGAATACATACCTCTTTTTTCTTTAAAAAATATACTTTAAAAAATAATGCTCCATAAAAATACTATTGTTCCTAGTCAAACACAGATATTGCAGTATCAACAGTTAACTGTTTTGTTTTTCTCTCTATAAAATGTGAAAAGAGTATTGTCACACCGATAGATGTAGAAAAAAATCCCCCACAGATAACCTACATGGCAGCCTCAGGCAGCATGGTGGCTCCCAGGAGTTTTGGACTACAACTCCCAGCCGGTACTGATGGGGACTGTGGTCCAAATCTCCTGGAATGCACCGGGCTGGGAAAGGCTGCATGTAGAGTTATCACAAAAGCCGGTACAAAATGAGGAAGGGTTTTTTTTGGGGGGGAGGGGGTGCAGAAGGGAAAGGGAGAGAAAGATGCATGTGGCTAGGAATGGCTTCCTAACCTGACTTGGGGATTCTGGATCCTTTTGAAATGCCTTTCTTTGGCATTTCCATGCACTCCCAGCGTTTGCTGCCTCTGTTGCAATGGCTGAGTGGTAAGCAATTTGCTCCCCAAGGGCGTAATAAATAGTCCTGCAAAGTGCCTGTGTCCCATGCTTGTTCTTCTTCTTTTAAATAATAATTAAAAAACCCCAAATGACTTAACAAAAACCACAGGCGATATTTCTTTTTTTTTTAAAAAAAGGTTTAAACTACAGAGTTCCCCACAAAATGCGTTGTTGCTATATAAACCGCAAACAGGATGAGGGCCGACAGTGCTAAAATCTTAGTAAAAGCATCTTAATAAAATATACCCTCTGCGCTGAAGTTACATATGGAATGTCCAACCGGAAGTACAAAGTGGGCCCAAACGACAGTTCGAAGTGGGCGAGGCCGGGGTCCCCCGCTGCATTTTCCCGTTCAGGCGCCTACATCGAATCCCCTCACCTCTGAGCTCCGAAAAATGAAGGAAGGTTCCACCTGGCAGAAGAAGGCAGGACAGGAGCCGAGGGAATGGGCTGCCTACTTGTTAGATGGAGGCCGAGGGAAGGGTGAGGGGTTGTGCCTCCCCACTGTGTGGGGAAAGGTCAGCAAGAGCCCCAAACAGTCCCGATCCACCACATGGCGGTTGCCCTCAGTTCTCGGAGAGGGAGAGTGCCAGCGCCGCTTGCAGTGCTGCTTCTTCATCGATGCTGTAGTCCTAGAAATGAGGACAGAACCATTGCAGGGAACCAAATGGAAGCATTTCCCTCCCTGCTCCAAGCCCCGTCCCTGATATTGCTTTACCAAAAGACTTCCGTTTTTCTCTCTCCTCCTCCACATCGCTCAGAGCAGTGTCCTTGATTCCTCACCCTTCCCTTCCACCCTCTCAGCAACCTTGTGAGGTAGGCCAGGCTGAAAGGTAAAGACTGGCCCAAGATCACCCACTGAGCTTCATGAATGCGCAGGGATTCGAATCCAGGTTTCCCAATGTGGCAATCTAAACACTACACTGGCTTAAAAAAAAATAAAAGGCTTGGGGCAAGATTAAAATTTCAACAATTATGTCCAAGTTGTCTAAAAGGGAAGTCTCCTTATAAGAGTGGAGTAGAAAGAACACCTACTTGAGCTCTCAAATGGGAGGAAGGTGGAATTTCTGATACAACAGCGTCCCCATCCCCCCACCCAATATCAGTTTGGTCCATGATTATCATCAAAGATTACATTTTTATCCCTCTTTCCAGGCCCAAAGGACCCCCGAGGAAGAACATGTTAAAGAATAACAACAAAAACCGCAAACCATCAAAGCAAGCAACAAGGGAGCCCTAATTGCCAACCCACAGAAAGCAATACTGAGCACCAGGGCTCCTGACCGCCATCTAATGCACCCCATGTAAGTTTGGCAGTAGGTACCCACCACAAATGTGTCATAGGAGAACTTGTGCCTGTGCAGAAGATGCTGTAGGAAGTTGGCACTCTTATAACTGGGGTCACCCCAAGGCATGGCTGAACAGACTGGGCATACCTGGAACACAGAGGGGCAGGAGGAAGAGAAGAAGCGGACTGTCAACTAAAAAGGAAAGAACCAGATTAGCCCATTCTAAAGCAACAAAGTAGCACACTAAATCAACAACGAGATTTGTATAGCCACACACATATGTGCATAGAACTGCCTAGGGAAATAATACCACTATAATTTATTCCATGTGTATAATTAATTATTTTTGGTCCTACTCTTCCACCAAAAACGTTCCCAAAGCAGCCCACAAATCATGAAAAAGAGAAGAAGCCCATGCCCTCAAAAAATTCACAACACAAAAGGAAAACCTATTGGGAGGGAGGAGGAAATAGGCAAACTCAGGCACAAGTTCTTAGTTACAAGTCGTTCTGATGACCAGATGGGATGGAAAACTTTTGAGAGGAATCGACAGAAGCTGCTAGTCTCTCAGCTGTAGCAGTGAAGTGGTCCTGATTTCCATCTCTTCCCTCCCCTGTTTCAGCTGTTATCCAAGACTTGCTGCACTGCCTGTAGACTTCTGCTCAGAAAATATGACAAATGCATGCCTTGCTATCCAGCAAACACCCTAACTGCACACAGAAAAGGCTTCCATGTTTTCTTAGGAGGGTGACAAAAGTTCTGATGGAAAGTCTCCAGTTTCCACAGCACACACCTGGGGTTTCTTTACCAATTTTAGGAAGCTGCCTTAGAAAGTCAAGCCATTGGTAGAACTACCTCAGTACTGACTGGCAGCAGCTCTTAGGATTTCAAACGGGACATTCCTAGTCCTACCTGGTGACTGAACCCACAACCTTCTGCATGCAAAACAGACCTATTGGTACCAAATTGACCAGATCTCCAAATTTAAGTTTTGGACTGATGGAAGGTGGACCTCAAAACAGAACTGCTACCCTAAACTCTCAACATGACCCTCTCCAGGGCACTTATCTCCTCTTTTTATCTGGCTGCAGAAAAGCCATCACCGCACTGCCTCTGTTCATTTGAGAAGCTGAATAGAGATTAAATGAGCTAGAAACTGGCACAGCACTCCATGCCTGGGAGCGGATGCACATGCACCTACCAACTCCGCACCGGGAAACAAATCAGATGCGCACAAACCTCACAGTTCACTGGACAGTTATACCCCTCTAGCTCTACATCAGCAGAGGAGCTGAAGAGCAGCATTTAACAGCCTGCAGTTCACAACCTAAAGCAGGGGGTAACTCAAGTTGTGCCATAGGCAGGATGGGCAAACCACTACACTGGCCTTTCATCCTGCTTCTGCCCCCCCCCAAAAAAACCCCAAACCTGTATATGGGAGGGCACAGTTCCCAGCCTCTTTTCCATTTAGATCCATGGCCACTCACCACTTTGTTGGGGTCATTGCGGTGGTTTTCCATGCAGTGTTTCACCAGCTCTTGCTGGTCCAGGTTCCGCGCTCCACAGTAGGGACACACAAATGTGGACCGGTTTGGGATATTGCTGGAAAAGACAGCAGAAATTTGGAAGGGTCACCCAGGAGAACAGCACCTGTGTGGTGCTTGCCAATGCTCCCTTTCAAAAGAAAACCCCTATGGACAGCATGGCTCACTCGTGACAGCTTCAAAACTATTGGTTAACCTTGCAGAGTTAGCACACAGCTCGGAAGCTTGCTATATATGGTATACTTGCTGATGATTTTTTTTAGTGGCAAAGCAATCGCACCGAGATATTAGGTGTGCAAAATAAGAAAGCTGTGTTTCTTACAGGAATTACATACTGGATGGTAAAGAGTTCCTAGTTCCAGCTAATTAAGCTGGAGATGCAAAGGAGCCCTGCTAGCTCTTTGATATCTGCAGGAGAAAGTGACAAAAGGCCTCTCCTCCTCTCTTCTCCAAAAGTGGCAGATATCAAGGAAGAGGAGGTGAGTGAGGAAATGAGGTCAACAACCCTAAGAATGTCAGTCTAGCACTTTAAGAGGTCAGCACAGGTTAGGTCAGAAAGGCAGTCTAAGAAGGTTCCTCCATCTATCCACTTTCTCCCCATGCAAGCCCCATCAGCCCAACACTCCAACAGAATGTAGCATCTTGTCCAACGGGTGAAGATTACATACCTGGGAATGGGTTGGGACGTCGGGACAACAGGAACAAACTTTGGACAGTTGGCCATCTGCTCCTGAACCTTAGTACAGGATGTGACATGGGATCTCATCTTTGCGAGGGTCACCTGTAAAATGAGGAATGGAGACAAAAGGACTCTATTTTTCTTCCTAAGAATGTGCTGTATCCTCTTAACGTAAAAGCTTGGTTTCTAGGTAATTGCCACACACTAATTAATTAAGCAAACTGTATCACTCTGTACTCAAACTGTCTTCTGTGCTACTTTGAAAAGGGGCAAGGTGGCCGCTTTAAGGTTGCAAAGGAACTTGGAACTGAACCTCAAGCTGTTCTTCCAGCCGCCAAACCTCAAACCACATGCCCTCCAACTGAGGCTTGTAAACTTCATTCAGCCAGTCTGTGACTTGTCCTTACTAAAGTTTCATGTTGATTTTTAACTGTCTTTTTATTGATTTCTTTCTTATATTATAATTTGAATACAATGGTATTCAAACTATAATACAATGTAAATAATAAAAGAAGCAATAAAAACAATTAAAAATCATGCAGCATCTAGCACAGTGCATTACAATGGCTACAACAGGCAGAAAGACTCTCAGCAATTTTCAAGTGACCTGGGAGGGGGGCGGGAGGAATTAACCAGCCAGTTCTTTGTGGTTCTAAACTTGGCATCTGCCCTTGCCCACATGGCTCATGAAATTACCTTTTTGCTACAGCCGCGGCAGGGAGCCTTGAAGGAGGAGAGCTGCTTCTCTACACTGGAGGCCTTCTCCACCTTTTTGGGGTCAAAGGGCATGCGGCAGAGTGGGCAGAGAGGAGACGGTACTTGGAGGCATGGCTGCAGGCATTCCCCACAGAATCTGGAACAGAAACAGAGACTTGATTTTGCTCAGCAAGCCTTGAGAGCACTAAGAGTAGTACAGGCATACAAACTCTTATCACCAGCAAATTCAACAATAAAGGCTGGCCAGATTCCTCTCCCAGGATAAGATGCTGACAGTTCTCCAGCCAAAAAACATAAAAACATTCCTGAAAACATGAAGTTGCCAATGAGAGTTTAGCTTTCTGTATGTCCTAGATTATGAAGTGCCCCCACACAGAATTATTAGCAGGGTGTTCTCAGACTATTTCCAGCACCTATGGGACATAGGGTAGAAGATGGCCTAGTCTTAAAGCACGCAAGAAGCTTTCTGTATCACAAGCAAAACATTCTAGTGTATGCTGAATACTACAGAGCACCAGTACATACTCTGGAATGCTACACACCACTTGCTCAGAGGTACAAAAATCTATTGCAGTCATTTATGCATCTAATTTTGATGAGCTGCTCATTGTCTCTTGCCCTTTATAACTATTGAGCGCTACGTGCTATGAAGTCAAAGAGCACTCTTGTGCATCCATCAGGAAATGTCTGCCTCTGAACTTGGAATAAGAGGCTACAGGAATCTGAGCAGTAATTCAAAGAGCCTCGGGCCAGATAATGGCTTTTAGAAACAGGCCAGAGATCAGGGATCGTGGCAACTTTAAAGTTCTTTTATGCCTGCAGGATCAGAACCTCTCATACAGTTGGTGGAAGAAACTGCAAAATAACCATTGTACTGGAAAAGGGAGCTTGAGGCTATGCAAGGGAATCCAAGAGGCAGAAAGGACAACCTGCCAGCCCACTTGCAAATGCTCTGGTCTTTCAGCAAATTTCATCAGCTTTATGCTAGCAGCTAGCTGCAAGTAAGTTTTCTGCTTCTGCCCTCACTCTCGCTCCGCTAGACATATGCCAAGTGAGTTTCCTCAAAGCCACTCCTTTCCTCTTGGTTACCTTGGCTAACTTTTAAAGGGAAAACCTCTGCTGTGGCTCTGCACTTACCCATCAGCATCTCTGTTCCAGAAGTCTTCACAAGAGGCAATACCAAACGAAAAGGCAGAGGCCTTTCCCACCACTAAGTGCAGGAGAAAAGGGTGGTTAACCCTATTACCACAAGTGAACTTTGTGTTGTGCCACAGGAGGGCAAGGTGATTTTATATAATACAGGAACAGCACAGTCACTACCTAAAGTGCTTCCAGTCCATATTAGTGAGCAAAGATTAGAATTGAGGAGGGAAAGGATTGGGGACTGTTAACAGAACTGGCTGCCTCTCTATTTCTGAGAACAATTCAAAATGCTTCCTTTACAACCATAAAACCCTCAATAACTTGGGAACAAAGAACCAACTGCTCCTTTGAGCATGCCTGGTTATTAAGATAATCAGTGTCCCCTGCCAACCAAAGTGTAATTGGTGGTGATGAGGGACAATGCCTTTCTAGTGGTAGCATCCTCTAAGAGAGATACAGCTGAAGAATATCTAGCAAATAAATTTTAATAGATTTATATATTGCTTGATTGTAATAAGACCTGGAACTGGCTTACAAAAAGAATGAAACAGTAGAAATATCAGGGGGGAAAAACCTGTTAAAACAACTATTTAAAACATTCAAAAGTTATTTAAAATAAATGATAAGCTAAAAACACAAGTGGATGCTGAAAAGGGTACAGTGAAGGCATTTGCATGATGTCAACAGGTAGGGGCTCCCAAGGTGTAGCTGCTGCCACACTAAAATATCGATCTTTTAAAAACAGAGTGTTATGTTGCAATTGTAATAGTGTCAATTCTGCAGATGGAAGCAGTCAAGCGGGCATATATGGGAAATGTGATCTCATAGGTAAACTGGTCTCAAGTTGTTAAGGGCTTTATATGCTAATAAGAAAGACCTTGAACTAATGAGCTGAGATGTAACAGGTTGATAGAATCTCACTCCTGTAATTGTAATTGTGCTGCATCATTCTGTGCTAACTGCAGCTTCCAGATCAAGTGCAAGGGAAGCCACACACAGAGCAAATTACAGTAATTCAGTCTTCAAGTAACTAACACATGAACTCCCATGGTCAAGCTTTCTTCATCCAGGAGCAAGTGCAGCTGTCATACTAATCACAGCTAGTAAAAGGCACTTCTAGCCACTGAGGCTACCTGGACTTCCAGTGACAAGCTGGCTCCAGAAGCATCATGCCCTAGACTACAAACTTGCTCCTTCAGGGGAAATGCAAGCCTATCCAGGGTTAGCAGTTGACCAATTTCTCAGACACAGAAACCACGCCTCTGTCTTGTCAGAATTCAGTCTAAGTTATTCCTCATCCATCTCACCACTGTGTCCAGGCACCAGTCCAGGGATTGCAGGGATTCTCCTGATTCAGGTGTTCAGACTACAATCTGCATCAGTCCCAGCATCATACAACAATGCTGGCTAGGGCTGATGGGAGTCATAGTCCAAAACACCTAGAGAAGTCTTCACCAATCTAGTGCAAGCCATATGTTTTGGACTACAACTCCCATCTCCCCTTACCATTCACCATGCTGGCTAGGGCTGATGGGAATCATAGTCCATAACATCTGGAAGACACTAGGTTGGGGAAGGCAGGCAATAGCCCTTCAAGGTCTTCCCCACACATTCTGTCCAAGATCCTTTTCAACTTGAGGAGTCAGGGATTGAACTGGGGGCCTTCTGCATGGAAAGCAGATGGTCCACCGTGGAGCTATGCCTCTCAGCCACCTCCTCTGTTAGTTTTTATAATGCCACAGCATCTTTTGACTTCTTACTACTACTGAAGATACAGCTCTCTTCCAGAATCTATCTCCTCAGGAGATGGTGCTCCAGAGCAGGTTTTTGCCTCCCCATGAAACCTTTTAGAAGATTTAGACTGCAAGCATTACAACTCTGAAAAAAATCATTGCAAGAACTGGTCTGAAAATATTCAACAGTTTCAGCAGACAGTTTCAGGAGTGCTAAATTTCACTATATCATTACACAATGTAACAAGGGTTTGGGTGTTCAAAGTTTGAAGTTGCCATGCACATGGCAATGTCTGGTAAAGGCTTTGGTATCAAAAAGCTCCTGAAGATCTGTGTTCACAGGAGCAGAGTTAGGACTCACAATAGACTCCTGCAGGCTCATGTTATTCAAAGGATTATATTACCCCACTTTCACACTCACAGATATAGACAACTCAGTGAAATTTCATAAGGCTATTCCATAGTTATCCTCTACTGAACTTTCTGTAATAAGCATTATCTTTCCCTTCACACAGAGCTAGTAACAATACTGTAGGAAAAGGGTGATGTGGGTCCAGTTCTCCCAATATTCATGGGAACCATTGATTCAGGTGCCCCACTCTCTCTTTAAGAGAGCATCTCCACAAGTGCACTCCCCTTGCTTTCTAGAACAGCCACAAATTTGCACTATGATACTAGCAGTTTGGTTTATGATCTTCTTCCTAGCGATCCCTAGTATGAAATTCACCTTCCCCACAACAGGGTCCACATCTGTTACAAGGTATCTGCTTCAGCCCCAAGGACTCATTCTTGGTCAACACTGCCATGTCAGTGTTGCACCACAAATTCACCTCCTCATCCCCCTAACATACTTTCTCCCAACCTAGACCCCACTTACCCTACTCCACTCTATGCCTTAGCATCCTCAGGCCTGTAGTTCCTCCCTCGGTCGCCCCCTCAAATCTTCTCCTGCTTTCCCCCAAATCAGGCAGACACCTCCAATGCTCCCCCACCAGACCCACCATCTCCTCCTCTAACGCCACCCACTACCCCCGTTGCACTTGCTGAAAGACGGGCATCATGTTTACAAGCGGTCCGCCCTCGGACATGACTGCGCGTGCCCGCCACCCCCCAGGGCCCCTGGGCTCTCACGTGTGCCTGCAGGGGGCGATGCGCACGGGGCGCTGATAGACCTCCAGGCAAATGGGGCAGCTGAACTGGGCCTCCAGCGCGGTGCCGGCCTCAGGCGGGTGGGGCGGCGGCGGGGCGGGCGAGGGGGCGGCGGCAGAAGAAGGAGTCGCCTCGCGGGACCCGCCCGCGGACACCAGCAGGCTCCGGAACATCGCGGCAGCCATGGAGGACGAGGAGGCGGAGGCGACCCCGGCCCAGGGAGGCGGAAGCGGAAGCTAGGTGGTAGGGCGGCGCTCTCTGATGATGTCAGAGGCAAACCACCGTTTCGTAGCGCTCCTCGCGAGAGAGAGCCTCTCGACCCACGCGGCGCGCGGCCGTCGCGGCGCTTAAGGGAGTGTGGAATGTAGACTGTGTATAGACTCGCACTCGGATCCGAGATTCCGGGTTCGCTTCATTATTTATTTGCATGCAGTTTTGACTTTGAAGTCACTTTTATATCCAATTTTCCCCTTTAAGGAGCTCTAGAGGATGTACATCTTTCTTCCCACCCCTGTTTTATTTCAACAACAACCCAGTGAGTTCGCAGTACCTCATTTGCCGTATGAACCGGCCCTCCCACCAGTGGGAATTTGTTTGGTTTTTAACACGCACGAACACCTTACACCCAAACTCCACCCGGAAGGTTTCCTCTTTGTGAATGTGTTGTTGTTGTTGTTGTTTAGTCGTTTAGTCGTGTCCGACTCTTCGTGACCCCATGGACCAGAGCACGCCAGGCACTCCTGTCCTCCACTGCCTCCCACATTGTGAATGTGTAGACAGATCTATAGAGCAGATGGGACAAGCCAGGGCGTGTGACGTCAGAAGAGTGCGCCGGGTGGCCGGTCCTGCTCGGGTTCTGAGCCGGGAAGAGGCTGCTTAGGGCGCCCCGCGCGACGGAGGCTGAGAGGTTTGGCTGCGATGTGTGAAGCCGAGGAGGGAGGCTGCGGAAACGAGACGCAGCCTAAGAGGGCACCCCGGGGCAGGTAGGGAAACGGGGTAGGGGTGTTGGGGTGGGAAGAGGCCTCCCCTGCTTGTCCCGTCTGAGCCGCGACTTCCCACTAGGTGTTGTTTTTGCAATAGAAGGCAGCCTGAAATGATGTGAAAAGATCCACGTTGTGCAAATCAACATAACAGATTTGTTGTTGTTGTTATGGTGCTATATGCGCACATTAAAAGACTGTCTGTAGCAGAGTGTTTTTTGGCACTTTGAATAATAAGAAATGTCTTGCAGCAGAAGCTTTTGTGGACCGAGGTCTGCTTCATTAGTCGTGTGAAAGGGTTGTACAGTATTCTCAGTTATTACACCTGCCAATTTAGGACAGCGCTTAATGCATCCAGTGAAAGGGCTTGTAGTCCAGTGAAAGTTTCTGCTGTAATAAAATTGTTGCAGCGCAACCTTAGCCATGTCTAAAGGTAAAGGTACCCCTGCCCGTACGGGCCAGTCTTGACAGACTCTAGGGTTGTGCGCCCATCTCACTCAAGAGGCCGGGGGCCAGCGCTGTCCGGAGACACTTCCGGGTCACGTGGCCAGCGTGACATCGCTGCTCTGGCGAGCCAGAGCCACACACGGAAACGCCGTTTACCTTCCCGCTAGTAAGCGGTCCCTATTTATCTACTTGCACCCGGGAGTGCTTTCGAACTGCGAGGTTGGCAGGCGCTGGGACCGAACAACGGGAGCGCACCCCGCCGTGGGGATTCGAACCGCCGACCTTTCGATTGGCAAGCCCTAGGCGCTGAGGCTTTTACCCACAGCGCCACCCGCGTCCCTCTAGCCATGTCTACTCGGAAGTAAATTCTATTGAATGCAGTGGGAGATATTCCCAGGTAAGCAGAGGTAGGATTGCAGCCATAATCTTTTAGGCTGTTTGGTTAATATAATCATATGCCATTCTCCTGCTTGTAAAGCACCCACAGTGGCTTATACAGTACCAATAAGAAATACTACACAACAATAATGGTTATACACTAATGTTTTTAATTCCAATGGCAAACAATACAAATTGTACTTTGGCATCTGATCTTCCTTTTCTCTCTTCTAAGCTGCCCCTCAAAATGCATGAAGTGCAAAGAAGGTTCCCCGGCGTTGATCATCCGTGTTGGGGATGCCTTTTGCAAGTAAGTATGACGGGCAGCTGTGCCCTTTTACCGGGTTGGCAGCAGACATGCTTGTCATTTTCTGAAAGGCTGCTGTGGGTCTACAACAAAGCTGCGAACCTTTTTTTGAGGGATCTGGCTGATCTTTGCTACAAGTGACAACCTCTGGTGTTGGCTCACACAGCAGAATTTCAGTCATGGCATATTTCTAGATCTCTTTCATCTCTATTAGAACTCTTTTAAAAACAATTTGAGTTGTTTTTTCTCAGTCTCTCACTACTACCCTAACCCAAATGTTTCAACCAATTATAGTTAAGTGTGGGGAGGATCATAGCTTACACTTTGCAGAGCACATGTGTTGCATGCAGAAGTTCACAGATACAGTCCCTGGCATTGCCTGTTAAAAAGTGTCAAGTGGCAGGTGATGGGATGCGGAACCCCACTGGAGACCCTGGAAAGCCTATCAGGTGGATGGAAAATAGTCTGATAATATAAGGCAGCTTCTTCTATTCCTGCTCCGAAGCATAGCATTATGGCTAAAACAAAATAAGGTCAAGATCGTTGACTAAAATTGTGTTTCTGTTTCATCTTATTGCTTTAATAACATGCATTTGTTGCTGTTTCGTAGGAGCTGTTTCAAGGATTATTTTGTTCACAAGTTCCGGGCTATGCTTGGCAAGAATCGCTGCATTTACCCTGGAGAGAAGGTCCTGCCCAGTTATTTTGGGGCGGGCAGGCAAGGGAGCTAACAACTAGAAGTGACAGACATGTTTTCTAATACTCACTTGCATGCTTTTTATTTATTTTTATTTACTGTAGGTTCTGCTTGCATTTTCGGGCGGCCCTGCCTCCAGTTCAATGGTGCGGCAAGTGCAAGAGGTATTTTCCCATGACTTCCTAGCAGGGTAAATACAGAGAATTTGGGGGTTTAGTAGAGTGGTTCTTAAATTAATACCATTTCTTATGTACCCTTCACCACAAGGTTGCAGGGTGGGTTATAGCAGTCTAAAAATCAGCATTAAAAACAGCTTGAAACTGACCCAAATCATCTTTCTCATTCCAGGGCTTGAGCCGGGAAGCAGCCAAGAAACTCCGCTTCAAGCCAGGAATCATCTATGTTGATGGTAAGCAGTGCTTGCTGGGTGGATTCCCTTCTATGTTTGGGAGACTGAAGAGTCTAAGCAGAGGCAGTTTGTTCAAGGTGAAACAAAGCTTGCATCAAAACACTTGTACTCTTCTCCAAGGTTTGAAAACAATACTGCTAAAAAGTCTCATTTTCCCCTTTTCCTTACCTTCAAGGCAAACAAATACTCTCTTAGGGTGTCTGTGAAGGTGGCCACATCTTCATGGAAGGCAGGATTGGTGTGGCCATTTAGAAGGGGATGAACTGTGGCTTAGTGGCACAGTATCTGCTTTGTATGCAAAAGATTCAGTCCCCAGTATTTCTAGGTAGAGCTGGGAAAGGCCCTGTTTCTGAGACTCTGGAGTGTCACTGCCAGTCAGCATAGAGGCCTTGCAGATGCTGCTGGACTGCAACTCTCAACATCCCTGACCATTTGTTCTGCTGTCTGGGGCAGATGGGAGTTGTAGTCCAAGGGCATCTGGAAGGCATGAGGTTCTCCACCCCTATATGCTCCCAGGAGGGATTCACACACTGAAATGCAGCTGTCTTATGTTCCTAGTGCAACTTCTGTTGTCAAGCCTATTTTTCGCCCTAGACCGTTATCAAGCTCAGAGTGACCCTTTGGGCATCAAAATTAATTTGGGTAAAGGTTTTGAGTGAGGTGGCTCTCCAAATGGTTCAGATGACTTACACCACGACTCTCGCCCAAGCTAGGAGAAAATAGGATGGGAGTCCCCCCAGAAGCCCACTCAGCTTGTTTAACTGATCTCCCTGATCCTCTTTCTTGCCGTGCAGAGGGTGCTGTGTGCGGACAGAGCCCAGGGAGGCGGGAGGAGATCCGCAGCGAGGTGGAGATGATCCTGCAAGCCACAGGGTTCCCTTATCACCTGGTGTGCTTGGAAGAGGTGAGGAAAGATGCACATGAGGAGAGGCCCGGGGTGCCGTGTCAACCTCTGACCTTGTTGCCGCTTCCTCATTTCAGTACAGTCATACCTCGGATTAAATACGCTTTGAGTTGAGCGCGTTCGAGTTGCGCTCTGCGGCAACCCGGAAGTAACGGAGCACGTTACTTCCGGGTTTCGCCGCTTGCGCAGACGCTCAAAATGATGTCACACACATGCGCAGAAGCGGCAAAAAGTGACACGCGTGTGCGCAGATGTGCTGTCGCTAGTTACATTTACCTCTAGATGCGAACAGGGCTCTGGAACGGATCCCATTTGTATCTAGAGGTACCACTGTACGTTGGTGTATTTTGAGTGGAGTTAGGAATCTCCTTAGAGATTCAGTTTGGCTGATCAGTAATGAAATAGCCTTATTACTGTGGAAGCCAACTAGTCCCATAAGAAAGGTGCAAGAACAGACCCCCTTATGACATTTTCAGGCTAAGGACCACATGTCAGTGATGAGTGGGGAAGAGGTAAAAGTGGGCAGAGCAACGCATGCAGATCTTACCTTTGTACAGGAGTCTGGTTCGCCCACTCCACCTTTTAGAAGAACGGAAGAGGACAGATTTCCCCATAGCTTAGAATTCTCAAAATAAATGTTATCATAGAAGCTATGATGTTTTTACAGTCCCAACACTAAACCAAGGCAAATAAATATCAAAGGGGTGTGTGTGGGAAACACTGATTTCTATGTTTAAATGTCTGGTCCTGCTACTGCTTTCCGTGGCTGACTGCATGTGCTCTGCCCTTTCACAGGTGTTTGACCTTCCAGGCTCTGTGCTGCACTCCATTCCCCATAGTGCCACTGACCACGGCGGCAGCTACAAGGAAGCTGTGGATGGTTTCATAAGATGGCAGCAGCACGAGAAGACGGCGGGGGACTCAGCAAGCTCCCTGGAGGACCAGCTGGCTAGGCTTAACGTTCAGGGATCTTTACAGCAGGAGGGACCGCCAGTCCCAGGAACTAGGCCTCCTCCGGTGCCCCATACTGAAGAACTGACCAAGCTCTTTGGGGCTGTGAAAACCCTGACTGCAAAAGAGGAGCTCCTACAGACTCTCCGGTGAGCTTCTTTGCAGAAGTGACAGAGATCATCTTTCCTTTGGTTAGAGTGCTGCTGGACAAGCTCCCAGTATGCATTGCTCTCAAAGATGGGCAGCCCAAGCATGTTTTGGAGGCTGCATTCAGAGACATTCCCATCACCCTCTTGCTGTCTAATGTAATCTGCTTAAGAGGGGATGACTGAGTACTAGATCCTGGCCAATCCCAATAATTCCTGAATCCTTGGCAGCTGAATGGTTGCTGCTAGCACCCCTTTGAGATTGCTGAAGGATGACAGGGCTGCTGCAGGTAGAGCAGAGGCCAACCCATCCTGAGCAGCAGCCTCAGGAGCATAAGGCCCTACAGAGCCAGGACCTAGAGTATTCTGCTTCACCCTCTCTAGGCTGCCACTTCCGGATTTGCTTTTCATGGCCTCTTCACAGCTCCACTGAATGAGACAATACTTGGCTGTTTTGCTTGGCAGTTTGAGGTCTGTTCTGGGGAGGGGCCAGCCACCTCCCCGCTCCTTCATGAGTTTATACCCTCCATGAGTTTGTCTAAAAGTGGGCTAGACCAATTAGTGGAGGCTAAGGCCACTCGCCATGGTGGCTGTGCATTGCGTCTGAATACCACTTGGTGGCGATTACCAGTGGGGGAGAGTCCTGCTTGTGGGCTACCTCTTGGCCACTGTGAAAATGGGATGCAGAACTAGATGGGCTTTGATCTGATGCAACAGGGCTCTCCTTATGTTCTTAGTAACCACCTGATTCTGCATGTGGCCCGGACAAGTGGATATTCCAAGGTGATGATGGGGGACAGCGGTACCCGTGTGGCTGTCAAGCTCTTGACCAACCTGTGCCTGGGACGGGGGCCTTTCTGGCTGCAGATACGGTGAGAGCAGGGGCTGCAGACTCCTATATGTTGGGGCCACAGAGGCCCATGTTTCTTTCTGTTTCTTTCTTTCTTCGCCCTTTGGTGAGAGGTGCAAGCTTCAAGCTGGAGTGGGCAGTGCTGCTCGTGAGGAATCCAGTCCCTGTTTCCCCTCTCCAGAGAGGACATTTGGGGCTGGCCATTTCAGCAGCAGGCATCTGAGCTGCTTATAATGGCCTTGCTAGCTAGCAGAAAGCCAAGACTCTGCATCCCACTCCTGGCCCTGAAGAACTGGAGAGAGGGAAGCAGGGAGTTGTTCCAGACCTCCCAAAGAGTTGCAGCACCAGGTTCAGGGACTAAAGCTGCAATTCCTGCATGTAGTTACCTGAGAGTAAGCCCCACTGAACATGACGGGGCTGACTTCCAAGTACATGTATAATGAATTGTATCAGAAGACAAACTGAAGTCTATTGACAGCACTAGCACCACCACTGTGCTTTTCTTTATTGCTTCTATAAAAGGACGAACCGTAGCTCAGTGTCAGAGCACCTGCTTTGCATGCAGAAGGTCCCAGGTTCAACCCTCGGCATCACCAGGTGCAACTGGTAATGTCCCCTGCCTGAAACCTCTAGAGAGCAGCTGCCAAGCTAGTGCAGACTATGGTGAGCCAGATAGGCTTTTGGTCTGACTCAGGATAAGGCAGCTTCCCAAGTTCCCATATTCTGTTCTTTCCACACCACTGGTTTGGACCACCCAGAGCTATCCTATCTCACAAATGGGGCAGCGGATCAGGCACTTTCTGCACTGTTCACTTTCTCCTTTCCTTGAAAGGGCTTCTCAGACAGTCGCCACGGTGATGTGCTGTTCTTGCGTCCCATGCGGGAATACACTGCCAAAGAGATTGCCTTCTACAATTGCTTCTTTGGGGTGCCCACAGTCTTCATGCCTGCGCTGGATACTAAAGTAAGAGGGACCTACTTCTGGGTGCCTGTAGGGTGACCCCTTTGGGCACCCTTCCACCAGACCTCCTGGGAGAAAGTTACCTTCCTTGTTGCCCACGAGTGATGCCCCTCTTCTCCTCTTCCACAGACCCCTGACAGAGCCAGCATTCACCGCCTGATTGAAAGCTTCCTCTACAAGTTACAGTGTGACTTCCCCTCCACCACCAGCACAGTCTGCCGGTAAGCAACCCTCAGGCTGGGCCATTCTCCTGCAAGCAACTGCATGTCTCCCTGCTTCTAGGAGGACATTCATCAGCACTCCCCCCCCCCACACTGCCACACCCCTATTGGTTGCATGCTGATAATCTCCTTTCTGCCGGCTTGTTAGTATTTGCACCCATTGTAAGCAGGACTGTATGCATCAGCAACAGTAAGTGTCCAGTTTCTGCAGGCTGAATAAACCTGAATAAACCATGTTTACTCTGCAGGCTGAATAAACTAGGAAGTTTCTGTGTGCTTTTAAAACCTGCTGGAGTTGCCAGTTCGCTTCCGGGTCCAATTCAGGTTCTCACATTAGTGTTTAAAGCCCTAAACTACTCAGGCCCAACATACCTGAAAGACCTCCTCCTTCCCTACAGACCCTCTCAGGTGCTAAGATTAGCAGATGGAGCCCTTGTGGTAGTTCCTCTGCCCTAAGAGGCTTGGGGTAGGGGGTGGGGTGGTCCAAGAGAGAGCATTCTCCGTGGCAGCCACTAAGTTCTGGAACTACCTCCCCATTAAGGTATGTCTGGCTCCTTCATGATACAATTTCTGGCAAATAGTGAAGATGCGCATCTTTGCCCTGGGAGGTGTATATTTTTAGGAGCCACCTCATTTCTGTGATTGTAAGCAGTTTTAATACTGTGTTTTACAGTTGTAACCTGTCCTGGGATCTTAGGGTGAAGGGTGGATGATAATAATGATAAAAGCCCACTTATTCTTCAGGGCAGCAAAGCCCCACATCTTGATCCCCACATCCCTTTCTGAATTCTTGAGACCATGACATTTTCCTCTCAAGGGATTTAAAGTTTGCTTCAGCCACCATTAAAGCCTAGAAACTCCAGGTTGTATCCAACTTAATTTTACTTACAGTAGACCTGTTGAAATGAATGGACCTAAAGAAGTCCACTAACTCCAGGGGGTCTTCTCTTGAGTAGGACGTAACACTGGACACAACCCTTTTTAATCTTAAAATGAGTGTGTTGAGATCATTGTTGCTTTCTGGCAGCTTAACTCTGTGCCAGTTCTCACATGCTGTCTGCGGAATACATGCAGACGTGGATTGTGTTACTTCCCCATGTGGTGAGACCAGCTGGATGGTGCACAGAAGGCCTGAGAGGCAAAAGCAAGATGGATAATAGGAGGCAGAAGGGCTAGCCATGTCTTCCCAGCCCTCTTCTTGATGCCCTCTCCATCCTTTCTGCAGGACAGGTGAGAAGCTTTGTGTGACTTCCCCAGAGACTGACCCTGGTGGACCCACAGAAACACCCCAGTGCCTCTTCTGTCTCTGCGCCTTGGACACCAATGCTGGTATGTGGTGGCCTTGTGAACCTCAACGGCAAAGTTCTTTTTCACTTCTTTAAGAAGGGGATGCACCTGGATGTGGTTCTACAAAGTCAGAAATTGGAGAACTGGAAGGACCCCCAAAGCTAGCTTGACTTCTGCCTCCCACCAGAAGCCACAGACACCCACCAGCTTGCCTGTTCTAACCTGCAGGGTGTCAGAATTAGCTGAGCCAGGAGTTTCTCCTCCTGGGCTGCCGTACCCAACTGCCGTAGAACTAATGATCTTGCCACTGGAATACCTGCCTCTGGGATTTCTCTAGTAACATCTAGAGCAGCCTTTTCGTCCCCAGATGTTGGACTACAACTCCCATCATTGCTGGCCACTGGTCCCTTAAGCTAGGGATGATTGGAGTTGTAATCCAACAACATCTGGGGCCCCAAGGTTGAGAAAGGCTGGTCTAGAGCAACCTTCTCCATCCTGGTGCCCCCGGGTGGACTCCCAACTCCCAGCATGTCTAAATGACAGGGATGATGGGAATTGTAGTGCAGTGACATCTGAAGGGAAACTGGTTGGGGAAAGCAGCAGGAAGCTTTCTTTTCCATGACTTCTTTTTGTAGACAAATTCATGAAAGGATAAGACTGTACATGGCTGCTAGCCACAATGGCTATGTTCTTCTTCCACTGTTGGAGGCAGCATGCCTCTGAATACCAGTTGCTAGAAACTGCAGGAGAGGAGAGGGCTCTTGCCCTCTTGCAGGCTTCCCCTTGGCACCTGGGTTGCCACTGAGAAGAGGATGCTGGACTAGATACACCACTGGCCTGATCCAGCACGGCTGTTGTAACAGCATCCTTCTAGCCTGTTGTACCCATTGAACTCCCTGGGTACAAAGAGAGCAAGACTGTTTTTGCTTACAAAGCTTAGCCACTCGGGGGCGACAGCTGAAACTCTCTCTGCCACAGAGGACAACGACTCAGCCGGCCAAAGAAGCGATGCTGCCTCTGACTCTGCTTTCCCTTTCCTCCCCAGTGGACGGCTCCTCCTTGCAGTCGACGGTGCTGTCAGAGCAGCTCTGCCAGAAGCCACTTCCACCATCCACTGGGAATGGCTGCTGTGGAGGGGCCTCGAATCAGACAGGATGCTGCAGGGCCCCTCTGGCGCCAAGGTAAGCAGGGATGCTGGATCCAGAACGGATAGCTCCACAAACAACTTAGCCTTGTATGGGTGCGGGGGACTCCTTGCCCCCAACTTGGATGGCCTTTCAAAAAAGGGCTGGAGGACAAAGGCTATGAATGACTACCAGCAGCAGTGGCTAGGCTCTGCCTCCACTGCAGGGGTCAAAGATGCTTGCTGAAAACCGCAAGAGGGGAGAGGGCTCTTGCGCTCGAATCCTGCTTGCCAGGTTCCCACAGGCATCTGGGTGGCCACGATGAGAAGAGGACACTGGACTAGATGGGCCATTGGCCTGATCCTGCAGGCTCCCCTTAGGTGCTCTTGTGCTTCTAGACCAAGGGTGGGAAACCCTTTGGAGGGCTGCATGTCAATGGCCAGAAGCAAATGCAGGCGGAGCAACCAATGTAAATGTTGGCTTTGTGAAATTATTCGAACACCCCACTCTATTCAAGGAAGTGAGAGGTATTATCCAAGTTCAAGAAGACACCCCCACCAAGCAGGCCAAAGCACTTGGGGTGGGTGGGTGTGAAGCAAGTTCACCTCTGCTGTACTAGAATCATAGACATCACCTGCCCAGACTTGATCCTCTGCCCTCCTGCTCTGTTCTCCCCTGTAGAGATTCTTCCCAGCTTCTCCCATTGCTCTGCTACAGCTGCCGCCTGACCATCAAAGACATGGTAAGTGCAGAGAGGTGTGAAGCGCAGGATTCCTCCTACTCTAATGCTGCATTTTTCTGGGCTGTCACATTTCCTTTCTGTTCAGAGACTACAGGCCAGTTGGCTGCCTCTGTCACCAAACTGCTGCTTCCAGACAAGTGGATGAAGCTATCGCAGTTGAGTTTGACGGGTGGGAGAGTGTTGCGGCCTTTGGGAAGTGGGGAGAGGAGTGTTGTGGGCCTAAGCAGAGTGTAGCGAGATAGGGCATTGTCTGCCACTTGATCTGGACAAGGAGGCTTGGCCTCATGAGGACTAGAACCCAGGGCAAAAAGGAAAGGCTGCCTACCCTTTTGTATTTTCTTTACCAGACTAGGGATGGGCATGGGCTCTGCCAGGCCTAAGGGATGCTCAGGCATTCATCACTTCCAGATTCATTCATCTGGAAGTGTTCATTCACCCCACCCTCTTTCCTCCTCTGCAGAGCTCCTTGGAGCCTCTCCCAGCCTACATCCACTTGGAGGCAGAGCACCGGCGATGCAGGTACAAGCCACACACTCTGCAGAGGAGGGGATATGTGCAGTGGGAGACATAGTTCATCTATAGGAAGGGCAGGGAAGAGCATATTGGAGGCAGTTCTGGTGTGTGTGTATGTATGTATGTATGTGAAAGAGACCAAAGAGATCTCAAATCGGGCCCATTTCTCCATGGAATCACTCTGGGTGGCAAGACCAGGTCCCAAATTTATTTAGTGCTGGGGATATACTGTTGTGCCCCCTCCCCTTACCAAAGGCCAGGGTGCTCTTGAGACAGAAAACAAAATCATGGAGATATCTAAAGTTTTGTGGTTGCGGTTGTAGTTATGTAGGTTGGATAAATGTGTATGACGAAGAGAAATTTGAGATCAAGGCATGTATTCTTGCAGTAGCACGCATGGCAGGAACTATTACGATAGCCCCATGGGTTAGAGATGACCAAAGGGTCTGTCAAAGGCTCAGATCCTGCCTTGGCAGCCATGGTCATATTTGGTCAAGTCTGCTCATCCCCAGTACCTGTCAAATGACAAGCAGATAGAATTAATCTTGACAAGGGTTTTATCAGACCAAGTTGTGAACTGGTTTGCTGGAATTACCAGTCTCCACGGGGCACGGGGAGGATGCTTCTTGTGCTGATTCTCACTTAACCACCCACTCTCCCTGTTCAGGTCCCATCTCTACACACACACACCCCAAACAGCAGCAGCTTGTCATAGGGGTCCCCTTTGTGACTTTACCAGCTTCCAGCCAGCTGGGGAACCAGAAATGTTCAGGTGTAGAGATTGGTGTGTGTTTTGTTCCTGCAGGGCTGCAATGAAGCAAGAAATCCAGGAGTTCTTGCTTGAAGAAGAGGACAGTGATGCTGCTGAGGGCCTTCCCCTGAGCTGATGACAGGTTTGCTGAGCTCTGGAGAACTAGAGTAGAACACCCAATGCAAGAAAGCACCCCCTCTTGGCTCTTATTTGACCTTTTCTTCCTTCCTGAATTTTATAAATTTTCTAACGCAAATAAATTATTCTGAAGCCACAAGCATCTGGCTCAGTGATGCTACAGGAGGTCTCTCATCATTTCAGTTGGTGCCAAGCACTTGAGAGTCCTTACACAACTCCACCAGTGTGGAGAACCAGTGCCTTGCCAGATGTTGCAGAACTATACCTTCCATCAGCCCTAGCAAGCATGGCCAGTGGCCGGGAGTTCTAACATATATATGTATATGTAGTTCTAACATATAAAGCGCAACACGCTGAATGGTGATGTTTGCAACAAATTTCTTTAATAGTTACTTCCTATCATACGAATCAAGTCCAGGATGTCTGTTGCGCTTTATATGTTGTAATTATTGCATCTGCATAACAAGGTATTGTATTAGTTTTGGGAGTTGTAGTTCAGCAATATCTGGAGGGCCAAAGGTGCCTTTATACTTGCGGTATAAGTCTCCCTACCCTTCAGAAGATGGGGTAGTAAGGATGAAGCCAAGAAAAAGCTCTGTTCAAGGTGGGGGTGTATCACCTCTTTTCCACCCTACCCCCCAAGGTCACCCTTGTCCCCATTATTCAGTATGCTCTAATATCGCTAATAACCACAGCTTTTTATTTTTAAAGTTTTATTATATAGATCTGTATAAATAAAACCACCTCCTTTAGGAAAAAAAGTCAATAGACTCCAGCCACCCCTTTGTTTCCAGCAGCTGGGGTTGGCACGTAGTGATGCCTAGACTATGGCACTCGGTTGGGGGGGGGGGAGGAGTGTTTGTGGCAATGTGAGAACAAGAAGTGGGAGGGGGGAGGAGAGAAGCTCTACCCCCAGATTCTTTTGTTTTGCAGGGGGAGAGGGAGATGCAAACAGGTTATTGCTGTGCATACAGTGGGCTTTTCAGCAGGATACAGCACCGCAAGTCAATCAGCAAATGGTTGCAGACTTCCTGCTTTGCAAAACACCCCCTTGTGCTGCTGTGAATAACCCAGGAGGGTAAGGGGCTTCGGAGAGTGCAAAGGTGCTTCCCGTTCAGCCGTTTCAAAAAGGGAAATCTGATGCAAAGAGTGACAGTATTCCCCTCCTCCTCCTAAGGCAGTGGGGCAGCAGGTTTGGCTCAGAGGTTAAGAGGCTGCCCCACCCACAGAGGTGAAGCAAAAGGCAGGTGGGGAAGAGAGGCAGTTTCCAGGTCCAGCAGTAGGAGGAGCTCAGCATCCTCTCCAGGTCCATCTTTAGGCTCTCCATCCGCCCCTTAGAGAGAGTGAGAGAGAAGGCGGTGTTTTCTCAACACCTGTTCTCGTGTCTTGCGGGCTGCTTGGCTCTGTTGTGGTAGCGGCTCCTCACTCTTTCTCGCGTGTCCACTTGATCATGGTCTCCGGCGAGCGGTAGAGGAAGATGAGCTTGGCGTACAGCTCCTCCTCCAGCTCCAACTCGCCCGTCTCACGGACCAGGAAGATGTCGTGGCACAGCTTAAGGATGCGGTCGACGCAGGGCAGCTCCTCAAACATGATGGAGTGAGAAATCTCACTGAAGAAGCCCCGCACGAACTTGCCGATCACCAGCACGATGGAGACGTAGAGGCCCATGATCCTGGGTGGGGGGAGGAGGGGGTTAGCCAGGGGTCCAAGAAATCAGCAGCCAGCACATGGCGAAAGCCACAGCCATGCAGTTCTGCTTTGCAGACGTGCAAGATCACACCTTTGCCCACCTCTTTAGTTTTATTCTGCTCAGAATAATGCAGCTAAGAAATGGCTGCTTTGCTAGTGCATTGGGTGGAAGGGGGGCAGGATTACTATAGCATTTGTCAGCCGCTCTATATTTAAAAAAGTGTCCCCAAAAATAAAATTCAGCACTTAAAAACGATTTAAGACTAGAAAAATGTAAAGCAGTCACACATAAAAAACAGAAAATGTTCATCCACAACATACTAATCAGGACAAATCCTGTCCATGCTACTGAAAAATCACCACCACCATAGGAAGCCATGTTAATTAACCAAAGGCCTGGTTGAATGCAAAGGGTTTAGCTTGGAGCCTCTAGAAGGGTTCTAGGCGTTCAATTGGGAACAAAACACTCGGGGAAGATGCAAAGCAGGATGGGGTTGGTTCAGGAGGCTGTGTGTGGCCTCAGAAGAGTCCCAGGCGCCAGTCTTAGGGGCCTGTGTTTCTTCCCCACTCCTGTGCCCTAAGGTATGGGCTATCCAAGCCCATGACTTCTGAGCCAAAGATTTGCATCAGCGCCAGAGCTTAGAATGTAGGCAACAATTCTCCCATGAATGTAAATGGCCCCCTCCTGATGTTACTCACCCATATCCTGCCAAGAAACCGAGGCTGGGAGGGCTGACTTTGTCGTTGAAAATGACCATGGGCAGGATGTTGCAGTCCTGTTCCTGGCAGTTGGCCAGCCGAATCACCCACCACTCAAGGAAGTTGGCACTGCCGTTCTCAATTCCCACCTGCTGCCGTTTCAGTTGCACCTCTACGTCCCAGTAGCTGTCCTCATCCTCTGCCACGGTAGATATGGAGCAGTGGACAGAAACTTTGAATGAGCAACTCAATCTTCATAAAGAATAGGTGTTCGCCCATCCCTCCCGCTTAATCAGAAACAGGAGTGTGGGCTTTCTGGAAATGTTTGAACTGAACATTTCCCCAAGTTACCAATCTGTCGGGATCTGATTAGGATGCAGGCTGAATTTTGGAATAAGGTGTTTGTTGACATCTCTAGGATAACTAAACGAACTGTTACTCTGTGTTTGCACTTGGCACTTTTGAACCCGTACATGGAAACAGAACGGAAACAGTCTCACCTGGCAGCATCTGCTCGACAGGTTTGGCTTCAGGGCCATTAGGTGCACGAATGTAGGGAGGAAAGAGTTTGGGAACTTTACTGGAAGAAAAAAGAAGGAGGATCAGAGGAAGCCTTTAAAGGGTGCACAGAGCCACACTCCCTCCCACATGCATGATCCCAACCCCAAGGGAGGGTAGAGTCTCTCTTGCACTCAGGTCCTGCTTGTGGGCTTCCCAAAGGCATCAAGCTGGCCAGTGTGAGACCAAGATGCTGGACTAGATGGGCCCCGTTTGGCCTGATCCAGCAGCCAGTCGCTTCTGATGCTCTTATACTAAGCCTGCCAAGGCTCTACTGGGGAAACTTTGGTCAATTGCGATTCATTTTCTCATCCCCACTGTGTGGGGTCACCCACGGGGTTTTGTTTTTGCGATGGGGGAGAGATTGCCTCCTTTCTTGCAATAAAATCCTTGGGAGTGTGCTGGGAGGGTGTGTGCCACCCCCTCAAACTCACACAAACTCGTTGTGGGTGCCTTGCAGCAGCCTTGCCAAATCTCTCCGCACGTTGTCTTGTTGCCCCAGCTCCATTGTGTGCTTCTCAGAGGTGTACTCCGCTGTTCCTCCTATGCTAAGGTTCCTGAAGGTTTTGGGGGTGGGAGTAATGAAAAGAGGAAGAGACAGAGAGGTATTAATGTTTCAAATCCTTTGTCATCTGTTTTGTCTGAGAAGCTTTTGCCCATGCTGAGCCTTGGGTGCAATTAAGTGTTCAGAACACACCAAGAAGATAACCCATTAAAAAAACAAAACGAGGCTAAAGTGTCTTGGTCAAAGTTAACCAGGAAGACTATTAGCAGATGGAGAACCATTTTCAGCACAGGGGCCACGTCCCCTTACAGACAAGCTTCCAGGGGCCACAGGCCAGTGGTGGGCAGGATGTGAGAGGCAGAAGAGGGCAGAGCAATGAATGTGACTCTCGTCTTTGTACCACAGGCTGTATTCCAGCAGGGCTCTCTATCTACCAACACTTCTCCATCTAGGCAAGCAAGAGGCATCCTCAGACCCTTAAGGACACATTCCAGCCAGTCAAAGGCACTTGGAGAGGGTGCAGAACATGCCCGGGGAGTGGGAAATTACTGCTGCTTGATTACACTGCAAAGTATTATTCACAGCAACGCGTACTGCGCAAGCCATTAGCCTGAGCCAGCAAGGTGTTTCTTGTTGCATGTCCTAGCGAGACACCATAATCCTAAAATCTCCACCAGGACATACCGCTGGAAGTTCCACGTGAAGCGCAGGGTGATGGCGGAGGAGCCATTATGCAGCTCTCGGTACAGCTGCTCCCGGCTGGGTGGGCTGATGCTCCATAGCGAGCCCGAACTGCCCTCAATGCGTGCCGTCACGATATCCTCATAACTGTAAAGGGTGATGAACTGCATGGCCACCTGGGGGCAGGAGAGAGCCTCAGAGTCAGGGTGGTATGCCACAATACATACACAACCAGCCTCCTTTTCTTACACAGCACCAGCACAGAACATGAGGACTGGGAGGACTCCTGCTGCTGCTGCTATGGCCACATGCCTGGATGCAGAGGGAAGCTCTTTTCCCATTCCCAGTTTCCTTGGGAAACTCACCGGCTGTCGCACAAACTCGTTCGTTAACGCATCGTAGTCCTTGGGGGTGAACTCTTGGATTGACTGTTGTTGGGCGCTCATGGTGAAGAGAGGCTGCAAAAGGAAAAGGGTGAGAGGGAGGAGGGGGTCGAGAACTACTCACGCCAGCAGAGCCGGTCCAAGCAAAGAGCCCTGCCAGATCAAGCAATCTAATCTGGCAGCCTCTTCCCCACAGAGGTCAGCCAGATGCCCCAATGGGAAGCAGGGCTTGAGTGCATTAGCCGTCTCCCTTCTGACACTACAGGCAATTGATAGCTTTATCCTCCCTGGAACCAACGACAACCCATCACACATATAGAAATGGACCATGGACCAGTATCAAGTTTTAAGTGATCCAGATGGTGGGTCTGCTAAGGAGTGGACAGCAGGAGGGGCTGTCAGAATGCAGACCAGAATGACCACATCGTTCTAGCAAGAGAACCAGGCCACGCCATCTGCAGCAGCCTCTCCCGAGATAGGGCCCTCCAGACATTTTGGATGGCAACTCAAATCAGCCTCAGCCAGGCTGTTCTGACAGGGTAAGCCAAAAGGCCACCAGGATCTTTTGGCAGGTTTGACCCAGCAGACAAAAACCCTCCCTGCGCATGGTAGTCAGCGTGGCTTCTGACCAGTGCTTTAGAGAGAAC